GGGGGGGAGGGGGAACATTCAACAACCGCTGCTGGCTGTAATCTCTGGTGATCGCCTCCCCACGCTGTGGGCCACCCCTGACGGAGCAAGTTCTGACACCTGGGCCGATACCCTCCCCAGAGCCACTCCTGAAATAACCACGCCGCAAACCGCTGCTGCCAACCCTAGGGATGAAGGAAATGCAGCCGTGGCTGCCTAAAAGAGGGCCACTGCTTGCTGCCACTCCGGGAGACCACCAGACGCCTCTCTTCTTCTGCCCAGAGCTGCCCAAATCAGCACTGGAGCCGCTCAGGCTCGCCGCGCTAGACACCTCCGCAAACCGGGCCCAGGCTAGCAAGGTAGGCCACTGCCCTTCCTTCCTCCCCCTCCGTGCTCGAAGCTACACCTTTGAGCACGAGTCAGCAACTGACTGGGCGGGAGCGGAGCCCCACGGTTTGGCCGAGCCAGCTCTGCCCACCCCACCCACATCTGTTGCTGCCCCGTCTCCTCCAGGGCAGCAAAACAGCCCCCGGACCTCATCGGCTTCGCCGGGAGGCCAGGAACTCCAATATTTTAAATAGATAAAAGCAATGGAAAGAAATCTTTAAGGTAAAGGTAACAGGTTTAAACATAAACATGGTATTTAAGGTATCATGTTTGGCCTCTTGGAATATGATGCATGTTGAACTATGAACTGGCTTTACGTTAGCCTTCTCCTAGAGCCAGTTTGGTGTAGTGGTTAAGTGCGCGGACTCTAATCTGGGAGAACCGGGTTTGATTCCCCACTCCTCCACTTGCACCTGGCTGGATGACCTTGGGCAAGCCGTAGGTCTGATAAGAGCTGTTCTTGAAAAAGAGCAGTTTCTGTCAAGAGCTCTCTCAGCCCCATCTACCTCACAGGGTGTCTGTTGTGGGGAGGGGAAGGAAAAGGAGTTTGTAAGCCGCTCTGAGACACCTTTGGGTAGTGAAGGGCGGGGGATAAATCCAATCTCCTCCTCCTCCTCTTCTTCCTCCTCTTCTCCCTCTTCTTCTTCCTCTTCTTCTTCAGAACAAGTGCCTGTGAATCTACATCAGTATAATGTGGGTTGTCATAATCTTTAGCTACCTTGTTGGGTGGCAAAGGTTGTCTTTTCATGAGTTGTCTTCAGTGTGTGTTATATCATGCCTGCAAGGACTGTTATATGATTTCAGTACTTGCCAGTGTCTTTGGTCCAGTCATTTAATGGCATCATCAGTAACATGCTTACTTTGACTAGCTACAAGCCTGTAAAGTTCATTATATGCTCGTAGGAGTCAGTTTCATCCCTTGCATCTTCATTTCTGTATGTATATTGTACACTTTTTTTGTGCCTCTGCCATGTTCTATTTATTTAGGATACCTGAAATCAAAGAAAATACATTAAAATGTTATTTAGGGTTATGAAAATACGTTATTCTAATGGATAGCAGTGTAATTCTAGAATGGTTAATGCATGTTTGTTTCACTGTTCAGAAATAACTAGAAAGCAGATTAAAAGAATGGCTCACTTCAGATATCACACAAAACCATGGTTTAATTTGTGATTTTCCCCATTACTATGTATGAATGTGAAAGTTGAACAATGAAGAAAGCTGGCAGGAAAAAAGTTAATTAATTTGAAATGTGGTGTTGGGAGAGAGTTTTACAGATACCATGGACCTCCAAAGGGACAAATCTGTGGGTTCTAGATCAAATGAAGCCTGAACTCTTCCTAGAAGCCAAAATGACTAAACTGAGGCTCTCATACTTTGGTCACAAGCTGACAAGAGTCACTAGAAAAATATGATAATGCTAGGAAAAGTTGAAGGCAGCAGGAAAAAAGGAAGACCAACATGAGATAGATTGACTCCGTAAATGAAGCCACAGCCTTCATTTTGCAAGACCTGGAAAGGGTGATAGGACATTTTGGAGGTCATTAATTCATAGGGATGACACCCAGCTATATCTGTTGTTGGGCGGTCGGTCCAACTCCAACCCAGATGACATGGAGCGGGCGCTTCAGGATGTTGCGGGCTGGCTTAGACTGAGTCGATTGAAATTGAATCCAATGAAGACGGAGGTCCTATGCTTGAGTTGGAACGGGTCGGAGGTAGGGATTCCACTACCGACCTTTGGTAGGGCGCCACTGGTGCCAGTGCCGAGGGTTAGGAGTCTGGGAGTGCTCCTGGATGCCTCCTTAACAATGTAGGCCCAAGTAGCAGCCACTGCCAAGGTGGCCTTTTACCACCTACGGCTGATTAGGCAGTTGGTTCCCTTCCTCAAACGCAATGACCTAGCAACAATGATCCACACAATGGTCACCTTGAGATTAGACTACTGCAACACTCTCTACATGGGGCTGCCCTTGTCCCAGACCCGGAGGCTGCAGCTAGTGCAGAATGCTGCAGCCAGGCTGTTGATGGGTCTCTCTATACGGGACCACATCCAGCCTGTGTTGAGGACACTGCACTGACTGCCTATAGCATACTGGATTCAGTTCAAGGTGCTGGTTTTAACCTTTATTTTTTTTATAAATATATTTATTTCAGTTTTCTTATGCATTACATCATGCATCCATGTTACAGTACCTTTACAGAGTCGTCTAGGTATCAGTTTATATCATATTTTCATCTATCCATTTATAAAACATTCCCCATCTATTAGTAAATATATTCATATTCTTATTTTCTAGTATTGTAGTCAATTTGTCTATTTCGACTACCTCCCACACTTTGGTAATTAATTCTCTACGAGACGGTATCCTCTCAGCTTTCCAGTTTTTGGCAAATAATATGCGTGCTGCCGTAAGAATAAATCCCGTAACGTATTTTTCTTCATTTTTCATCTTATCTGGCATTACATTCAACAGAAAAGTTTCTGGTCTGAAGGGTATATCTAATTCATACATATCTATTAACATCTTATGTATCCTCTGCCAATATTGTTGGGACTTGGGGCATCTCCACCACATATGATAGAAGGTGCCCACATTATTTTTACACTTCCAGCAATTTTTAGATGCGTTTGGGTAGCATTTGGCTATTTTATCCGGAGACCAGTGCCACCGATGAAACATTTTAAATATATTTTCCTTATATGGAATTGCTCGTACTTGTTTTGCAGTTACCCAAATTTTTGACCAGTCTTCTATGATATAGCCTAAGTCTTGCATCCATGTAATCATTGTACATTTAACCTCTTCATCCAATTCGAAATTAGTAAGGAACAAATTATACAATTTTTGGATTAACTTATCATTTGTCGATAGCCATAATTTATCCAGTTCATTTTTTTCACAATAAATTCCTTTTTTTTCATCCTTCTCAAAACATGATCTCAATTGCATATTTTCCCACCAGGATAGCTTTATTCGGTGGGTTTTAACCTTTAAAGCCCTATATGGTTAGGGGCCTGCCTACTTGAGGGACTGCCTTTCTCCATATGTGCCCCAGAGAGCACTGAGGTCAGGGTCGCAACATAGTTTGACCCTCCCTGGTCCAAAAGAAGCCAGGCTGAATATCACGAGAGCCAGGGCTTTCTCAGTGGCAGCCCCATACTGGTGGAATGAGCTCCCGGATAACATCAGGGCCCTGTGGGACCTCTTACAGTTCCACAGGGCCTGTAAAATGGAGCTCTTCCACCAGGCTTTCGATTAGGAGCCGCCACTGATGAATGTGACCTAGAATATCTTCTGGCCTGAAATCTAGAACATCTTCTGGCCTGAAACCTTGCTGGATACTACCCCTATCATTGGGTGTGATTTGGATTATTGCCACCATCTGTCGGTTTTACTTGTAAACTGTTGCTGTTTTAACTTGGTATTGTATTTATTAATCATTTTAACTCTGTATTGTTTATGTTATTTTAACTCTGTTAGCCGCCTTGAGCCAGTGTGCCTGGCAAGGTGGGATACAAATAGAAATAATAAATAAATTAAGTTGAAAGTAACTTGACAACATGCAACACACACCCAATTTGTGAATGTAGGTTTCAGCACCTTAGCCCTTTTCCCCTGCCTTCCCAGCAAAGACTGGTATCCCAGTCTGCATTGAGATTTCTGATTAAGATCAGAATCTTGCTGTGTCAGCAGCTCCTTTACCATTGTCTGGCACCAGTATGAGAGTGAGGAAGCCATTATTTCATCTTTCGAAGTCTTCAGCCACACTCAAGCAAAGCTAACAACCACAGATCCACCCTCAGGCACTCATGCGGGAAGCTGCCTGGCTTTTTAACCCTTTCCTAACATCAAACCTGAAGAAACCAGCTTCCCAGTGCTGATTTAACAGCAACCCAAACACACAAGGACCCAGCAATACCCCTTCCCCCAGAGCACCATGCCAGAATTGGTAACTTTATGTCATTCAAAAATATCATGCATGAGTGCCTATTTCCCAGAATGGAGCAGCAGGCAGGGGAGCAATATAAGGGGATAGGAGGAGCAATATGCTGCCTTTTCCTTCCACAGGGGCCCTGAAAAGTCCAAAATAATTTTATCTATGAAAAAGTAAATATGGGTTACTTGTGTCAATGAATAAACTTCCTTTGAGGAGCGCACATTAAACAATCTAAGTTCCCTTTAATGTACCCAAGCACTTGCAAATTAGAGTGGTCAAGGTTTTAAAATGAATCGGAGGGAAATAACATTAAAAGTAGTCTCATATCCAATCCTAGAGAAGATGTGTGTATTGTCTGTATGTATTTCACTTTTTGATATTTGTTGCTTTTTATCTAGCAGTTTTCCTAAAGCAATACCAATGAGACAGGTGGCATGCTTAGGTCATGATATCAATTTTGATTTTGTATTACTGTTTGTACTTTTGTGCACACACAAATCCATACTCCCTTAACTGTGGTTAATGTTTACCGGAACTGGAACTTGGCTAATGTAGACCTTAACTATGATTAATACTAACTGGGTGGAGATGGAGCCTGTTAGCACTGACTATGGTTAAACTCTGTGCTACTGTATCTATTGACTGTAGTTCTTAAAATGTGATTTTTGTAACTGTTCTTTATATAACAGGTTGTGAGAAGATATATTTTAGGTGCCGTCGTTGACAGTGAGAAGAATTACGTGGATGCTCTCAAAAGGATTCTTGAGGTGACTAAATACACTTTGCCTTTCTAAACTCAGACACAGCTAGTTGGTTATTTCATTGGCATTGAGGAGAAAATTGTTACTTTGATTCATTCTTACCAGTTTATATGTTTTTTACTATAAACATGAATTTAAACTATCCTTGAGATATGATTATTTAAATAATACTCATCGTTGTTACTTCAGCAATATGAGAAACCCCTGTCAGAGCTGGAACCCAAATTACTGAGTGAAAGAAAACTAAAGGTGGTCTTCTATCGAATTAAAGAAATCCTTCAGTGTCATTCAATGTTCCAAATCGCTTTGGCCAGTCGCGTCTCTGAGTGGGATTCTGTTGAAATGATTGGAGATGTTTTTGTTGCATCAGTAAGTAATCAGTAATTGGACGGGGCGGTGGGGGGGAGGAATGATAACAACTGAACCCTTAGAGCCCTATGAATTCTATATCATCATTGTATTTGTGACAAACTGGGGAAGATCTTGTGCCAAAGAAATATGTGTGGCTGATCTGTGCACAAGTTCAGATTATGTCTTTTGCAAAAATTCTAATAGAGCCAGTAACTTTTTGTTGTTTTTAGGAAAGGTGTGAATTTTCTTTGTATATGTGTTTAAATATTCATGCTGAATACTCCATGCTGACTAGTACTAAATTATATGCAGGAGCTACATTTGTAACACTCTTATTTTTATGCATTTTCAGTTTTCTAAGTCTATGGTACTAGATGCATATAGTGAATATGTAAACAATTTTAGCACTGCAGTGGGGATTCTGAAGAAAACTTGTGCCACAAAACCTGCCTTCCTTGAATTTTTAAAGGTGAGTGCTCTTAGGTTAAAAAAATTGGGTAGGTAAGAACAAAATGGGGTCTTCAAATAGAGGGAAGAATTTAACTAGATTAGAGGCTTGACTATACAAGACTCTGGAAATCCTTGTATGGGTTTTCAGCTCTCTCAAATAGCAGCCAGTTGGGGGCTGAAAACATCCATGTTCCTGTCATTAATTTCCTGAGTGTTGTCTTGTTAAGCCTTTAGTTTACTGGGTCTGTTTTGTTAATTGGTGCTCAGTTCAGTTTTGCAGACTATCATAGTAACTGTAATTAGCTGGATATGAATGCTTCATCCTTTCACTGGCCGCTGTTTAATAAATTCTGCACTGAACAAACCAAATATAGTATAGATTTGTTCATGTATGTATTTGTATATGTTTTTTTAATAGTCATGCTGTAGGTGTGTATGTAGGTGATATACTGTCACTCTACAGGTCACTAAAATGCATTCATTACAAGTAACATGTACACCTTCTCTACCCACTCACTGATGACTAAGAATGGGATTGACAGATTCTGGTGTTCTGTACTAAAATGTCCTTGCCACAAATTCCAGTCATTATTTGGGAAATTACATGCTCTAGGGGTAGGCTTGTCAAGTCCCCCCGGGGGGCGGGGAAACCCCCGCCCCAGAGGCCCGTTCCCTGCCACTGGCGGATCGGGCCCCGGGGGGAACCCCACCCCCAAAGTACGCGACGTGCACGTCACCCGGAAATGACGCAACCACACCGGGCACGGTGGGGGCGGGGCCACAGTCATCCAAGGGAAAACGGTCATCCGAGGGAAAACGGTCATCCGAGGGAAAACTCTATGGTTTTCCCTCAGATGGTCGTGGCCCCGCCCCCAGCATGCCTGGCGTGGTCGCGTCACTTCCGGGTGACGGGGTTGCGGCGTGCACGCGCTCCAGGAGCAAGGCGGGGTGCCCCCCGCTCCAGCAGCAGGTAAGACTTGGCAACCCTATCTAGGGGTTGTGCAGCTTCCACTGGTGCTTCTTCAGCTGAGACAGTCTCAGTAGAGCTTGGATTCAGGTGGGCATCCATGTTGGTTTGAAGCAATAGAACAAAGTTTGAATCCAGTGGCATCTTTAAGACCAACGAAGTTTAATTCTGGTTATAGGCTTTTGTGTATCTGAAGAAGTGTGCATGCACACAAAAGCTTATACCCAGAATTAAACTTTGTTGGTCTTAAAAGGTGCCACTGGACAACTCAGCTGGTAGGTTTTTTTTTTGCAGTCTGTTGCTACAGTTCCAACCTGTCTCTGGAGAGGTTTTATGACAACAAGCCCTTCAGGTTCCAGATATTCCTGGGGTTTGACTGCTGGATTGTCTTGCATAGTTTGTAGGAAGTAGCTGTGATTAATAGTAATGAACTGGAAGAACCTCCTGCTTTTACTCCTATAGGTTTACATCAGGCTGAAGAATATTATTCTATATGAGTTGCATTTGGTTAAGCTATCTTTGGTAGTAACAGAAATGGAAAGGGAAATTGCTGAACTGCAAGTTATTTCAACACTTGGAACAAAAACCTCCCCAGGACTCAATGGGGATGTTGGCTTTTTATCCCATTACATATGCTAACTCATTCAGATCTCACATTTGTATTCTCAACAAGGACTATAAATCCTCTGTATTTTAGTGGATTTCTTTTTCAGAATAGTATATTAGAATACTGAATGTAATGCAAGGAATATTGGGATGTCTGCTGACAACATTACATCCAGCTCAAAACATGCTGTTAAGTGCCCTCCACCGTGCCTGAGAGGAGATAATTAAGATTCTGTTACTTCCTACAATCAGAAAAAACACCTTTAGACATGTATTTGCTATTTTGACATATTTATTGTTTTACAACTGTAGACCTTATAATCTTAACTTGTTATTTGGTTTTTCACTTTGCATAACTTGAACATCACCATGTTACATGTTAATTTGCTGTTAAGTCCCTGTGTATAAGTTAGAGCCTCATCTACCATTCCAATGTATTTGAAAAAGTGTGCCTTGCACTTGAAAGCTCATACCTTTAATAAACTTTTGTTGGTCTTAACGGTGCCACCGGACTCTAAATTTGTTCTGCTGCTTCAGACCAACACGGCTGACTATCTGGATCTACCTGAACCTAGCTTGCAGTAATTGACTGTTTTGTTTAGTGTGCCTTACAACTTCTAACACTGCAAAATCAGTCAAACTTGCTATGTATCTAGTTAAAAATTCTATATTCTTTCGGGCTTTGCTGATTAAGTTGCAATTGTAAGTAATATTTTACATATGGTAATGTGAATGTGTGCACATAGCCAAACATCCATTTCCATCTTCTCAAAATATATCTTCTCAAAAAGTATGTTATGCGTTAGCATACAATTAGTAGTGTCAATGCAGTGCTTTCCAGTGTTTAGAGTATGTCATGCACATTATTTTATTGTAATCCTTGCAAAGTCACTCCATTATCACCCTAATATTGCAAGTGCCTTTGTTAAGGCCACATAGCACAAGTAAAATCTGAACCAAGGACCTCCTGGAACAAATGCTCTGCTATTTTAGTGGTGATATCTTCACAGTCATCTCACCAATATCAGTCCATGAACTTTAAATATCTAGTTCAGATCCAGTGTTATAGGCCTAACATTTTTATTTTCTCACAAGCAATACTGACAATAACAGAGACTTTTCTCATTACAGCTATGCCAAGAATCTAGTCCTGATAGGATTACACTTTATGGCTTAATGATGAAACCCATACAACGTTTTCCTCAATTCATCCTCCTGCTACAGGCAAGTCATGGTGTTAACAGTACAAGGGACTTCTGCTTTGATACGTCTCTGAGAGAGCTTTGATATGCTTTGGCGCAAAGTTCTCTAGTAGTATTGAACAGAATAAAAAGAGAGTGGTTGAAATGTTAATGGTGGGCTATTGGGAACTGAGATAAAGTTAGACTTGTTCATTTGAGACCATTTGTTTGGGCAATTCTGAATAAATAATAGATATAAATAACACTGTTTCAAAGGAGGTGTAAAAGCAGTTGTTCAAAAACAAATGCACAGTTGAAATACAATGAAAAGGGCTAAAACACAGATGCTGAATCATCTGCCCCTCAACCACAGCCCACCACCCCACCACAAAGCTGACAATAAAAACTGACCACTTTGGGGGCTTTAACAGTCTTCAGATAAGTATGAAATTCTTTGATTGTGAAGTACTAAGAATGCATGTCATGCCATGCTTTCGTTGCAGATTGTATTGTCAATCGGATTCCACTGGTAGATTGTAGATACACTGGTCAGGCATAGTAGGCTTGATCATTGTGATGGATTCCAGAGGATAAAGCATCCTGAACTGTGCTGAAAGAGTAACCATGAAGGCTCTGCTTTCTCTTTTAAGGATATGTTAAAGAACACTACTAAAGGCCACCCTGACAGGCTGCCTCTGCAGATGGCTCTCACAGAACTTGAGATGCTGGCAGAGAAACTGAATGAAAGGAAGAAGGATGCAGACCAGCGATGTGAAATAAAACAGATTGCAAAGGCCATGAATGAACGATATCTAAACAAGGTTGGGACAGCACAGTTTGCTCTCATGGTTTCTTCATTGAGAAAATGGGTTAGAATGCAGTGGTTTTTGCACTCAGATGCTGTGGAATGTTTGGGGTTTTTTTGTGCTGTATGTACGTGGGGTTATGGGAATGTTATTCCATTGAACTGCATGGAGGATAGCTTCACAACAATGACATATTATCTCATAAAGGTACAGTTATTGTCCATGGTCACAGTTGTTCTGATTACTGACTAATCCTTCCTGTGTCTCCTGCACAAATGTATTTCAATGTTATGCAAAACTGGAAAAGCTTTTCATCTTTTCTCATAATGTTGTAGGAAAGTAGATTTTAAAGTTCAGGAATAGCAAAAATAGGTAAGACTTAGAAAACCAGCATAAATATCAACAACCCAGAGTTAATGACTTTTAATTCCTATGGATTTCAAGGCTGTATCATGCATTGTCAGGTATTATGCTATCATCACGTTATAGCAGTCATTTGCAACTGAATTTTCCTGTGTGGACAAAACCATCTAGTTGCAAAGAATTGCTGTAGACCTGTGACAGCACAATATCCAAAAATGCAGCCCAAGGTGAAAAAGAGAGTTCATGGCTCATTCTTCAACTGCCCTTCACAATGGAATTACCAGATGAGTGTACCAAGTGGTCATTCTTTCCTGTTCCTGTTTGTTCCAGCCACTTCATCCTCCTTTCCATCAAAGCTGCCTTCTCCACCTTAGCTGTGGAGGGGCTTTATTTCTGTCCCCTGTTGAAGCTGAAGGTGATACTAGTGGCCAAGAAAGGGAAGCGATGGTACAGAACAGCAAATTATCTCTATCATATTTTTAGATTGCTTTGTAAATTGCTAAGGGTGGCATGTATGTTTGTCAGTTCCATTCTGAACATGGGCTTGTAGGATGGCTGACGAATGTGCTGAGAGCGCTTCTTTTTGTGATATAAAACTAAATGCTCTTAGGCAGGATGTTGACTTTAGTGTTAAGTTCTTAAGGCAGAGATAATAATAGGCCTTGGAGTTCCCAGCCTAGAGAAAAGATAGAGAGACATGGAAGGAAAAGTCACTATGTCAAAAAAAGTCTTGTTAACAGACCGCTGAAGAGGCTTTAAGGTTGGACTTGATCTTTTACTCCATTTTCAAAACAACTCTGCAAGAAAGCTAGGTGATGGTTAGAGCAGCTAACAGTAAAGAAATGCCTTTAATGGAAATGATGTGATGTCTTCAGCACCACAGAACAAGGTCAACAAAAGAATGGCATACCATTTATTTATGGGATTTTTATTCCGCCCTACCCAAACAGGCTCAGGGTGGATCACAACAAATCGAGTCAAAGACTCGTTAAAATAAAATCACATTAAAATCACAAAAACAATAAAATTGGTAGCAGCAATATAAATATGTAGGGGCTGCAAGGTGGAATCAGATGGGCCCTTTCAGCAGGTTGGGAACTAAAGCAGGGAGGCCAACTGAGGTGGATGCCCACTGCCTCAACTGAAGGCCTAGTGGAACAGCACCATTTGCTGGCCCTGTGAAACAATAAAAGGTCCCACAGGGCCCTGATCTCCAGAGGGAGCTGATTCGACCAGGCTGGGGCCAAGGCAGAAAAGGCCCTGGCCAAGGCTAAACGAACATCCTTTGGGCCGGGGGTAACCAGTAAATGTTGGTCCTCTGAGCGCAAGGCTCTTTGGGGCACATATGGGAAGATGTGGTCCTTCAGATGTGCCAGTGTCAGGCCGTGTAAGGTTTTGAAGGTTAGTACCAACACCTTGAAATGGACCCGGTACTCAATTGGTAGCCAGTGCAAGTGGCACAATAACGGCCGAATGCATGTATGAATTCATGTGTGCTTTAAAGATATATAGGCAAAGCTATAGGAGTGTTATATCATGAATTGGCTAATATATTCTTTTTTTATACTTCAGTTACTTAGCAGTGGCAACAGATACCTCATACGAACTGACGATATGCTGGAAACTGTTTACAATGACCGAGGGGAAATAGTCAAAACCAAAGAACGACGGCTGTTCATGTTAAATGATGTATTAATGTGTGCTACGGTGCATTTCCGGTAAGGGTCTACTCACATTCTCTTTAAAAAAGTGCTAAGAAGCCTGAGATAAAAAGAGCTGTACATGCACTTGTGCACACATGCTAATGGTTATGGGAAGTTTTCATCTTGAGCTACAGAAACGGTACTCTTGATAGCTTAGTGTTGTAATTGTATTGTTTTGTTTGTTTACCTTTTGACCCAACTCAGGGCCCTCAAGGCAGCAAACATTAAAATGAGTCAAACGTTGGAACAAAATACTATCAAAACATATTAACAGATAAAGAGGGAGGAGGGCTAAAGAAGTTAATGAGGAAATGCCAAACAAAACGAAAAAGTCTCCACCTACCAGTGGAAGGCCACAATAGAGGGAGACAGGTGAATCTCCCTGAGGGAGGGAGCTCCAAAGTTTCACTGCCATGACCAAGAAAACCCTTCCTTGGGTTGCCCCTTGTCTAGTCTTAGGTGGTGGGGCCACCCAAAGCAGGGACCAGAAGGTTGGGTAGGTTCCTATGGGAGTAGGCAGTCCTCAAAATATGCTAGAATTGGGTCTAGAAGCAAATTGGGAGCCATTGTAGATGAAACAAGACTGGAGTGACATGGTCCCTATGACCCACTGCTGTCAGCACTCTGGATGCTGCATTCTTTATCTACTGTGGTTAGCCTTCAAGAGCAGCTCCAAGTACAGCACATTTCAGTAATATATGTTGCAAGGGCGTGTACCACAGTGGCATCACGTTAGTAACATTGTAGAGGTTCCAGTTTTGGTGGCACAGCACACGCTTTGCACCCTAAAGTTTCTTTTCCTAAAATATGGGCTGCAAAAAGCCTCTTATCAAGTCTCTGGAAGGCCCCTGCCAGTATACTCATTTTTCAGTAATCTGGCATAGCATAAACACAGCTCCAAATGCTGAAGCCTAACTCACTGTGAGCTGTTTGATTTTTTAGGAAGACTTCCTTTTGTTTGCAAATGTTTAATATTGTAACGATCGGTGCTTTAATCTGGGAGATGCAAATTTTGCTGCCAGCTCTGCTATAGATTTCCTGGCATTTGCACACTCCCTCTTGTAATGTACCATACTGTTTTACATCTCTGATTGATTGAATGGGGTTAGGATTGCAAAGCAGCTCTCATACTTATGTTGTGATGCAGTGGAGCAACCCATGCAAGGATTTTGTGTGCAGCTAGGTTTCTTCTTTTCTTTCCCCCTGAGCCTTTTTCACAAGCGTCTGGAGTTCCCAGTATATTATGGTACTGAAAAAGCGTGTATGGGAGGGTTTCTGGGTTCCTAAAGCAAAAGCCCAACCAAACATACAAGTGTGACCTGATATTCTTGTGTCATGCAGCAGACCACAGCTTTACACCTAATGCTAAGCCTTATTTATTCAGATAGTTTGGTGAGATTTCCTGTAATCTTTAAGATTGTAGTCTATGGCATCAATCACATGTATTGTTTTAAGATTTATTGAAGTCAACAATAGCTAGCAGGTGGAATGGTTGTATGATGCAGGGTCTTAAATTACTTCATAACTGATCAGGTTTAATGCTGAATGAAAGTGTAGTATTAGCATTCAGGCTAAATCATGAACATCACATGGCTCTTCCTCTCTTCCGAAATGTGTCATTCTGTCTAGGATTGCCAACTGGCCTGGTGAAAAATGTCCTGTCCCTTGTTGGAAATGGATAGCTGAAGCTTTTCATGGCATGGAGGTAAATAGCATCACTTGGTACTTAATGTCTCTTTAAACCTCTGCTAAAGGGGCACAACATTTCCCCCAAGGACTGTTGGCAATTCCATCCTTTGTCATGAGTGGGCTGTCTTTACATTATTCAAAACCTAAGCAACCAGATGCTTGTGTTGGGCTTTGCCCTTTTAACTTAAAACTGTACACAAGCTTTCTGCTTTCTTTGTTCTAGTCCAACTGCATCTTCCATGGTAGCACATTTAGCTTATCTCTGAGACCTGGTTGCAAGCTTTCTTTTATCTCAGAATCTGCTACAGCAACAAATCCATTCTTCATTTTGCTAGAATACCAATAAAAGCGGAGCATCTAAAACTAGATTATCATTCCTTTGGGTCTCCACAGTTCACAGATATTTGTGTTTTCGACCAAATCTATTTTGGGATCTAAATCACTGCCAAAAAGCCTGTCATATTAGGCAATAAATTGTTCTGATTGTAGTATTGAAATATATATAGAGAGTACTTTTAGTAGAAGCTTTCTTTAATTCCTTTACAACTTCTAAGTGATCCGTCATAGAAAACTTCCACTAACAGCAGGTGGGGCAATTTTTTGCCATTCTCCTCTCCCCCTGCAGAACCTCCGACTCCCCCTGCCCTCCACAAGTGGCATTTTGGACTGCAGCAGGAGGCGGAGGCAGGTAGGCAAGAAAGTCATGCCCTGCTGATGGAAGTGACTTCATGCCAGCGAGGAGGATTGGGGTTGTGCAGGCACTCCAGGGTTGTGCACCAATATTGTGCATAGGCACGATGCCAGCATGCCCCCACTCCCCCTGCATTTGTCTTTGAAGCGCTGGTAAGGAATGCTGGGGGGGAGGGGCAGGGAGGACTGCTGGGAGGATCCAGCCCACATCTTCCATGAGCACAAAAGTTCAGTGGGACACAAACTAGTGTTTCTTCAGGAACTTCTTTTCCCAACAAACTTTTTCTTTGTTTATATATCACTTCCTCTTTCATTGCCATCACATTAGAAATACATTTCTATATGTGTTTGCAAGGTGAGTGAAGCAAAGGGCAAAGCCCTCAAAAGTCAAGTTTGGTACTTGAATACCATGCGGAATCCTCACCAAAATAAACACCATTTAATCCACAGCATGATAAGGCCTCAATAAGCTAGACTCATAAAGCCTGGGACAATATATCATGGGGTAAAATGGACCTTCTAAGCCCTTTAATTGGACGGTATTGTATCCAGCTTTCCTCTTACTGTGTGTAGAGTGCTTCTTCCTTGCTTTAGGTTGGCAAGGCATTACACACTAATCATTGTAGCATATCTTGAATAGAATGCCCAGTCGAGTGACTCTAGGAAAGCACAGCACACATTCCGCTCTGTAAGAACAGTATATTGAAAATGGCTTCCTAATGGTAAATGATCCTTGCCCAACCCACACACTTTGCAAATGTTTGCCCCATCCGGTTATGTGTGTTCCGTACTCTCTTGGGAATGTAGGCGAGGGGTTGCATCATGGTGTAGGTGGCAAATATTTGCAAATGCTGTGGGCTGGCTGGGCTGCTCTTGGGAAAGAAATTCTTCTTGGCAGCATCCCCATGGCAACTGTTCTGGCTCTGACATTCTGAAGTGAACAGGGCCTGTCTTTATGCACTAATTAGAAATGCTGAATGAAAGGAGGAGCCATGAGAATTTGTGCCAGTCGTGGTGACTGCAGATTCACTTAAAGTCACATATGGTACACTGGGAGAATAAGTATATTGACAGTAATAAGTTTGATGACTTCCACATTTTTGGGGGGGGGGCGTATAGGAGAAAATTAAGATCCTGCTTTCTATGAAATGAAGGGCTGTTGTTCCTGTACTTCTGCTTGTACTTTTTTCTTGTTAAGATTTTTTTCTGTAGAGCTTGTGTGTGGATTTCAGCTCCGTATGCCTTATCCTTCTTACTGTCCCCTTGCATGTTGTATTTGATTTGAGAATACTTTGCATGACCATGAACAGCACAGCACAAAGACAGCCAGTGATGATCTGAGATTGGCTACACAAGGTGTTTCCTCAAATTGCAGCACCACACAGGATGGGGAAAACCAGGGGTCTTGTTGTAGAAAAAGAGCTGCCGGAGCTCATTAGCATAACTCATTAGCATAACTTATTTGCATATGCCACGCCCCCTGACATCACCGGAAGTGACAGAAGGCCACACCCCCTGACATCACCGGAAGTGTGTCAGAAGGCCCGGCTACTTACCCTCCTGCTTCATCCTCATTCCCAAACGGAATGAGGATCGAAGCAGAGGGCGGGGTAAAGAAGGGGGCGGGGCTTCACCATGTGACGGCCCCGCCCCCTAGAGGTTCTCTTCCGGAGCTCCGTACCTGAGAGCTCCCCCCCGACTAGAGCCCTGGTGAAAACAAAGGGAAGGTTACAAAACTGTTTTTTCCCTTTTGAGTGATAGAATGCTGATCTTTTAAGTAGGAAAAAGTATTTTCCTAGGAAACTTATTTATTTACTTTGCAGAAACAGCTTAAAACATCTTTTCCCCAGCTTTGACCTGGATAGCCCAGGCAAGCCCCATCTCGTCAGATCTTGGAAGTTAAGCAGGGCCGACCCTGGCAAGTATTTGGTTGGGAGACCTCCAGAGAATACCAGGGCCGAGAGGCCAGTGGGAGGCTATCAAGCCACTTCTCTGAATGTCCTCCGTTCTCCAGTAGGAGTCACCAGAGTTCTCCATGGCTTCCAAGCATGGGCACACACACACAGACAAATTGCAAAAAATACCCTCTAAAAACCATCTTTTTCCCTAGGAAAGTTTTTTTTTTAAATGCTCAATACAATCCTTGACTTTCTTGTCATTGCTGTATACTGACAGGACAAAATTAAAATGACTTTTGCAGTGTGTTGCTGTCCCTTATTGGGGAGGAGCTATTGCTCAAGGACAGAGATGTTCTACCAGGCCTACGGTTGAGGACAGCAATGGCCCACATTGTAGCTCTCATCATGGCCTACGTCCATGACTGGTCCCTGATCTGCCCTGGGGGAGGGAACGAACTGCATTTTTAAGCCATTGACTAATGCTGTTGATTTTATTGTAATCTGTAATTTATTTATTATTCTGGATTTTAACCTGTTGTGCACCACCCTGAGCCCTCTATGGAAGGGCGGTCTATAATTTTAAATAACAATAATCTATTTGGGATGCAGAAGATCCCAAATTCAATCCCTGGCATCTCCAGTCAAGGGATCAGGTAATAGATGATGTGAATGACCTTCAGCTGAAACCTTGGAGAACTGCTGCCAATCTGAGTAGACAATGATGGACCAATGGTCTGGTTCAGTTCATGTGTTCATTTGTATTCATTGTTAAGGAAAGCATACCTTGCATATAAATGAGATAATATTTGATAGTCAGTACCATTTTATCTATTTTTCATCTTCCTTTTAGTTCTTCTCATGAAAGGAGCAGCATTGTGACCGGCCAAAGGTATTTACTAAAATGGAGCGTGCCCCTTGGACATGTGGAAGTCATAGAGTATGGGAGTAATGATGGTCAAGACGAGAACTGTAGGTTCCCTCCACAACATTCCTCTGAGAATATTGTTGTTAATCCTAAACCAAGTAAGTAACACCCCAAAAGTATTTGTAGTTGCTACATTGAAACGGAGTGTGTAAAGTACTTAAAACCTTTACAATGCTATGCAATCTCACTCTGGTGTATATTAACTAAATGTTTAATATTCAGAATGCATGTAGAAAGGAGCAAGAGTCCAGCAGCACTTTAAAGACTAGCAAAATTTGTGGCAGGGTATGAACTTTCATGAAGACAGCTCTTACCCTGGCACAACTTTTACTATACTTTAAGGTGCTGCTGTACTCTTGCTCTTTTCTGCTGCTACAGACAGACTAACACAGCTTCTCATCTTGGGTCTTTACTGTTTTGAAGGTGTGATCTTTTAAGATCTCTCCCTCTGTTTTCCAACATTTGTAGTGTGGATTCTATAAATTCTTTAATCAGGCTGGGATTGAAAGCTGTAGTTGAAAGTCTCCTAGGAGTAATCATGGAGGGAACTCATCTCTGAACTCCTACACCCACAATTGATGTGTTTAAAAATACAGTTTGTCAAAAATGTTTTCTACCTTCTTAGTCCACCCCATACATCTCAAAAAGGACTGGTCTAATATATGGTTAACTACAAAACAGTTGAGAACGATATCTTATAAGGAAAATGTCTTTAAAATGTTCCACCGGTGGCATTGGTCTCCGGATAAAATCGCCAAATGTTATAGGAATGCACCGAAAAATTGTTGGAAATGTAAGCATAATGTGGGTACCTTCTATCATATGTGGTGGAGGTGCCCCAAAGCCCAACAATAGGATGCTGATAGGTATATTTGAGATATTTTTACCTTTCAAACCAGAAATCTTTCTGTTAAATTTAATGCCAGAGAAGTTGAAAATGGAAGAAAAGTATGTAATTGCATTCATTATTACAGCAGCTCGTATTTTGTTTGCCAAAAACTGGAAACTAGAAAGGATACCTTCTCAAAGAGACCTGATTACTAAAATACAAGAAGTAGTTGAAGTAGATAAACTAACTACAATATTGGAAAATAAGGATATGGAAATATTTAACGCCAGATGGGTAAAGTTTTATAAATGGACTAAAGAAAATAAAGTATAATGATAGATTATAATGACTCTGTTAAGATACTGATGAATGTAGAAGTGATATATGCATGATGTAATGCATAAGAAAACGAAAATAAAAATACTGTTTAAAAAAAAAAAAAAAGCTTCTCCTGAAAATTAGCTGACTCTCAGAAACTGAATTAGGAATATGATGCTGTGGCAAGAGGGAAATCATCAGAAATCCCTGTCTATGTGCTGGCATAAGTACACCAAGCTCCACAACTGGAGCCAAATCTTCTCCCAGTGGGTGTGCCTGCTGAAGAGATTTCTATTGATTTCATCCTCTTGCTGCAGCCTCCAATTTTCTCTGACATTCATCAATTGTGTTGGATGGGGCACAGAGGTATGCTAGAAAGGGAATGGTATTAGAAATCTCTCCTGGAAATGTCCTCTCTTTGTGGTAGGGTTGCCAAATTATTTTCACTTACCGGCGGGGGTCCTTCCTGCTGGTCCAAGAGCTCAGTGCGGACGCGTGCGCGCGTGGGCGCGCCGGAATCGGGGCCCGGGGGAACCCCCGCGTGCGCGTCACCCGGAAGTGACGTCGCACGCTGGGGGCGGGGCCCCGCCGTTTGAGGGGAAAACTCTTTGTTTTCCCCTCAAACGGCGTGGCCCCGCCCCCAGCGTGCCACGTCACTTCCGGGTTTCCCCCGGGCCCCGATTCCGGCGCGCCGGGAATCGGGGCTCCGAAGCGGGGGAATCCCCACCCCCCGGCTGCATTTGGCAGCCCTACTTTGTGGGCCCATGCCTGCATATTCAGTCCACGGCTACAGGGACATTTGAAAAAGCAATGAGTATCAGTGTTCTTGTTCTTGCATTTGCTATGGTTATTATTGTATTACAAGGAATTAGACATAGGACGTACATCCACAAGATTACTTGTACCTTTTCTTATAAATGGGAATGCACATTTTATGGCTAGGGGCCTGATCCTTTCTGGATCACAGCTCAGGTATTTTTAAAGATATGAATGCCTTAAAATATATCAGAACAAAGTTTAAGTCCAGTGGCACCTTTAAAACCAACAGTTTTATTCTAGGTATAATATTTCATGTGCATGTACACTTCTTCATATAGAAGTGTGCATGCACACGATAGATTATACCTAGAACAATAGATTATACCTAGAATATATGTCAGTTCCTTAAGTGTGTGTAAGGGATGAGGGCTGAATGAGCCTATAATTTACTAAGACCTGATGATTGGGTCATAAGTTTGACAGGATCCATCCTTGGAGGAGGAAGGTAGCCTGGTGGAGGTAATTGCCGGCAGCTGCAAGCCTCGGTTATCTCAAGGGAGTGGCAGTAGCCCAGATCAGGAGATGCTGATTACCTTTCAGGAGGCACCAGAGTATCCTTGGACATTGAGTTGATAAGCTGCCTCAGGAGATGGAACTGGATTCTGTTTTATGGTGATTCACTACTGAACTGTCTAAGAGGACTTGTCACATAAGAAGCTGCAGCTTCTCTTTTTAAGATTGCCAACATAACTTTGCATTTTAAATGTTTTTATTGCCGACTGCTCATAGGTTGGATGATTTCTGCACTGCATACATCCTGAGTGTTTGAATGTTTTTATTCAATTAAATGAAATAAGCTTTTTAAGGATATTTGCTGTGTGCTGAGAGTTTCCAGTCTGCTGGCTAGCTGCAATCTTATCTATTGAAGCGAACCCCAAGGTCAGTCAGACCTGACATGGTGGCAGCGGTTTGCAACTGAGGATGCATTTTGCAGTACTGGCAGTACTCAGTGTTAAAACTCTCTGCCTGGGAAAGCACAGTGATTGGACAAGTCCAGTGGCACCCCCCCGTGCGCTCAACAATTATGGGGTTGCCAACCTCCAGGCAGGGCTTGGAGAGAAGGAAGACTTTCCTCCATGAATTGCTCTGATCCTGATGGGGGAGATGAAACAAGAAAGATGCAGTGTGGAGAGAAATCCCGGAGCGAAAAGCCCCCCCCCCGTCACATACACCCCTCAGCAGAAAGAGATTTTCTCTTTCTTTCTTGCTCGCTCTCTCGCTCTATCTTTCTCTTTCCCCACATCTCCTTATCCTGTTTGGGTGTGCTGAGAGCTCCTTGGGCTGCATAGATCCCAGGGCACCTCAGGAGGACAGACCCCTCATTGGTAGCCAGGACAGGAGGCTTTCTTGCCCCCATCCTGCCCCTCATCTCTGGCCTGATCCAGACTCCCCGGTCCCTCCCTGCCATGCGACAGGTAGAAATCCACCTGGTGAAAGTTCCCCACTATGCTGAGTTGTGGCAGCAAGGCTGGCTGGATTGGGCTGCTGAACACCCAGGAATATCGGAGGGTGCGGGACACCTGCCAGGAAAGAAGTGCCCTTTGTGGGAGCAACCCCCCCTCCACCCGCCCCCCCAGCCCCAAACAGTGGAGGCCACCGTCAGCCTTCCCCCACCCTGGGGTTTGTCCCGGAACCAGGGGTGGCTGCTGGGATAAAAAGGCTGGGAGGAATTGGCGGGCCGGCAGAAGCAAGGAGGACCAGTCAAGAGGAGGCAGCACCGGTCCCAAGACGGCTCATCTTCCTCGCCCACGCCACTCCCCAGCCTGGTCCTTTCCGGGCTGCCCACCAGCTCTCTCTCCTGTCCCACTGCCCACCTCCCTTCTGCTCGCCTGATGGTCGCTTCAGACTCCCTCACTGTGCCTGCCGCCTCTTCTCCCTGGGGGTGGGGACTCCCCCCTGCCTCCCCCCCACAGCCGGCGGGTGAGTAGTGAAGGCTCCGAGGCTGCTGAGAAGGAGCTTGGGATCGGGGCCACCCCCCCCCAAGGACTACACTGCATGACACCCCCCTCCCTGGCGGTGGACATGGATGGGGTCCCATCTCTGGAGCAAGGGATGTGTCTTCCACTGCGGGTGGAAGGAGGGAGGGCGGCCGCATCGGGAATCGGGGGGGGGGGACAAAGAGGCGGCGGTGGCCAGGGTGCATGGCACGAGCTTTTGACGGGGGTGGGGGGCTTTTGGCGAGGGAGGGTGGCTCAGTTCAGTGCCCGCTGTGGCGCCAGTGCCCCCATGATGGCCCCGCTCTAGGCGAAAGTCTAGTTTGCCTAGTGAGTGAGCTGGCCCTGTCTGTGGGAGTCCTTGCTGTTTCCTACTAAGCCCAAAAGGAGGGAGTTTGGCAAGGGGCGTGAGAGTCCTCACTTTCCCTCACCAAGCAAGCAAGCTGTCCCACCTGCCTGCTGACCTGGCAGTGAAGGTGTTGATCAGCAGGAGTGGGAGTCCTCACCCTCTCACAGAGCTGGCAATCAGGGAGTCAGGTGGGGAAGTTTGGCAGTTCTCCCTGCCCACAGCTGCACTGGCAATTAGGGAGCTGGGCAGAGGAAGTAGCAAGTGTGTGTGGTGTGTGTGTGTGTGTGAGAGAGAGAGAGAGAGAGAGAGAAGCCATGGCATGCTCAATGATGGAGGACAGGACCCGGGCTTGGCAGCAGAGCAATGGATGGAGGGATTCCCCCCATGAGTAGTGTTGGTCTTTGCTTGTCTGTATACGAAGTTTGAGGATATTTAAATCCGGTTATTGGAGCTATGTACGGCAAGACAGATCTTTCTACAGACCAGGTTTGCCAAAAAAATGTGAAAACTAAAAAAAAAATGCATGGGAGGGGGAACTCAAAATGATAAAAGGAGGGCCCGTAGTTTTAACAAAAAGATTCCCTCAGTGGCCATTGCCAGGCAACCACAGTATTCCAAGGTTTGGTTTCTGTGCATCAAAGGCCGGGGGGGGAGGGGGCAGAGTCTTTTCCAGGGCTGTTTTAACCTTTTAGGGAAGACTTGTTGGGACCAGCCCTGACAGCAATCCAATTCCAGTAACCTTTATTGGCATAACAGTGACTCTATAAAAATAATAGTACAAATCAACCCATATGTCAACAAAGGAAAACAATCGGAGTACAGCAGTTTGTAACACTGTATATAGTAAAG